ATGGATATTAACTTAAAAAGAATGAAAATTTTGTTTTAACTTGACCCAAAAATTAAAATCCTAAAATTTTACTTTCCCACCCCCAAACTTATTTCACATTTTGTCCTCAAGGTGTGGAAAATGAAATAAACGAAAAAGAACAAAAATAATAAATCCTAAAATAAAACGTACAACAACTAACATAGATAAACGAAATAAACTAGGACAATAAAAACAACACTTTAATATGGAACTGAATAACAACACTTTCTGCTCTGGTTGGAAATCTTTTCCGAGAATTTGTTTGTCATGGAATGCTTTTGTTTTGTCTTTGTATATGCATGCATTTTCATAAGCCTCAATACGAATTTCCTCAAGCTCATTGAGCTACAGCTTATGTTTTTCCCATGCTGAATCATAAGCAAAATTCAACTCCTTAATAGCCCAAAACGCTTTATGCTCTAGCTCCATAGGTAAATGACAGGCCTTGCCATACATGAACCGAAACAGGGACATCCCAATCGATGTTTTAAATGCTGATTTGTAGGCCCAAAGTGCATAATTTAATTTCAAACTCTAGTCTTTACGAGTAGACCCAACTGTTTTCTCTAAAATATGCTTTATTTCCCTTTTTGAAACTTCAACCTGCCCTGATGTTTGTGGATGATAAGGAGTGGCAACACGATGAGATATCCCATATTTTGCAAGCAACGCAACAAACTGTTTATTAATAAAATGTTTTCCCCCATCACTAAGTATAACTCACGGGATTATAAACCATGGAATAATAACCCTTTGAAGGAATTTCAGAACTTCTGATCCTTGATTGGTTGGTGCTGCAGTAGCCTCAACCCACTTAGAAACATACTCAACAACCACTAAGATGTATTGATTGCCATGTGACTATGGGAATGGTCCCATAAAATCAACACCCCAAACATCGAATAATTCAACTAAAATACCATGTTGTGGCATCTCATTTCGTTTGGATTGATTTCCCACTCTTTGACACTTATCACAAGCTTTGCACCAATGGTTGGCATCCTTGAAAGGTGATGGCCAAAACAACCCACTCTGTAATATTTTTTTTGCTGTCCTCTTGGGCCCAAAATGTCCACCACGTGCATAGTAATGGGCAAATTTCAACATACTCTCTTGCTCCCTTTTAGGAATACAATGCCTTATAATATGATCTAGACAACATTTGTATAAATATGGCTCATCCCAAAAATAATGTTTAACATCTGCTAAAACTTCTTTTTCTGCTGAAACGAAAAATCAGGAAGTAACGCTCATTTTACCGAATAATTCACAAAATCAGTAAACCACAGGGTTCTGTTGTGGATAGTGTAAAGTTGTTCATTTGGAAAACTTTCACTCAATGGGAGTGAATCTTCTTCAACAATAGTTGGAAGAATTAACCTTGATAAATGGTCAACCACCATTTTCACTACAATTTTTATGTCAAATTCTTGAAGCAAAAGAACCTAACGAATTAATCTAGGCTTAGCATCTCTCTTAGACAACAAATATTTAACGGCAGCATGATCAGTATAAGCAATGACCATAGCTCCAACCAAATGCGACCGAAACTTCTTTAAAGCAAATACAATTGCCAATAATTCCTTCTGTGTGGTTGCATAGTTGAGCTGTGCATCATTGAGAGTACGACTTGCATAATAAATGACATAAGGAATCTTGTCTTTACACTGCCCTAAAACTGCCTTAACGACATAATTTGAAGCATCACACATCAACTCAAACGGTAAGCTCCAATCCGGGACTAAAGTTAGAAGTGTCTTCAACCTATTGAATGCCTCTAAACAATCTACATCAAAATTGAAAACTGCATCCTTAGCCAATAAATTACATAAAAGACGGCTAATCTTAGAGAAATCTTTGATGAACCGTCCATAAAAACCTCCATGCTCAGGAAATGACCTCACACTTTTGACCATGGTGGGAGGTGGCAATTTGTCAATAACGTCAATCTTAGCCTTATCAACTTCAATTCCCTTGTTGGAAATTAAGTGGCCTATAACAATACCTTGCTTAACCATGAAGTGACACTTTTCCCAATTTAACACCAAGTTTGTCTCTTGACATCGTTGAAGAACCAAAGATAAATTTTGTAAGCATTGGTTAAACAAATCCCCAAATATTGAAAAATCATTCATAAACACTTCTACAATCTGCTTAACCAAACCAAAGAAAATACTCATCATACAACGCTGAAAAGTAGCCGGTGCATTACATAACCCAAACGGCATCCATTTGTAAGCAAATGTTTCAAAAGGACAAGTAAAAGTTGTTTTCTCCTGATCTTCCGATGCAATTGGAATATGATTGTACCCGAAATAGCCATCTAAGAAACAATAAAATGTTCGCCAAGCCAATCTTTCCAACATTTAATCAGTAAAAGGTAAAGGAAAGTGATATTTTCTGGTTACTGAATTAGGCTTCCTATAATCAACACACATGCGCCAGCCAGTAGTTAAACATGTAAGAACCAGCTCATTGTTATCATTCTTGACTATCGTAATTCCAGTATGCTTAGGCACAACCTGTGTAGAACTCACCCATTGGCTGTCTAAAATTGGGTAAATCATAATTGCGTCAAGAAGTTTCATTACTTCAGTTCGAACCACTTCCTTCATGATTGGATTAAGGCACCTTTGGGCATCAACTATGGGTTTAATGCCTTCTTCCATTAAAATTCTATGTATACAAATAGTTGGGCTGATTCCTTTAATATCTGCAATAGTCCACCCCAATGTATCCTGATATTTACGCAACACTCTAAGCAATTTTTCCTCTTCAAAAGGTGTCAAGTTTGCTGCAATAATAACTAGCAGCGTCTAGGCAACGCCTAAATACAATATTTCAAGTGTTCGGGCAAATGTTTCAGCTCTAATTTTGGTGGCTGTAATTTGGACGGATTTAATGGATGTTTTGGCTTTCCCAAACTTTCATAAACATGTCTCCATTTAGACAAAAATTTAGGCACGCTGTCTAGAGCTTGAACAACTTCTAGAATGTCTTCATCATATGTTTCTGCATCAAAGTTCCCATATAAAACCTGCTGCAAATGATCTTTTATTGAATGAGCCATATAATTTGCATGAACAAACCCATCCAACACATCAAAACGCATACAGTCAAGCATTTCTGCTGGCTGTTTGGCTGCTTCAAACAAATTAAAAACCACTGAATGATCTTGGACCCTTAATGTTAAAGTTCCCGCTTCCACATCAATTAATGTTCTTGCTAGTGCCATAAATGGTCTGTAAATCTTCATCCATGTCCGAAACAACAAAATATGCTGGCAAGTAGAGATTGTCAACTTTGATGATCAAATCTTCGATGATGCCCCTAGGATATGTAACTGATTGGTCAGTTAATTGTAGGATAACTGAAGTAGGATTTAGCTCTCCTTGTCCTAGCCGCTAAAAAACAGAATAGGGCATTAGATTAATACTAGCACCTAAATCAATTAAAGCACGCTTAAAATCAGAATTTCCAATAGTGTAAGAAATAGTGAAACTCCTTGGATCTTTCTTTTTCGGGGGTAGTTTGTGCTGTAAAAAAATACACTACATTGTTCAGTGAGAATCACTTTTTTGAAGTCCACGAGTTTTTTCTTGTGTGTGCATACATTCTTTAAAATTTTGGCATAAGATGGAATCTTCTTAATAGCATCCAACAATGGTAGATTAATCTGAACATTGGCTAATGTTTGCATGAAATCTCTTAATTGTTGATCTTTGAGCTTTGGTTGTAACCTTTCATGATAGGGAAGAGGATGATCATAAACACGTTCTAATTTCTGTGCAGGGGCAAATTCTGAGTTGTTTGAAATCTATCCAGAAAAAGATGCAGAATATGTTTCTGCAGTTGTAGATACTGGGTTGTTAATTTATGCAGCTTTGTCCTTACTATCAATTTTTCTTTGTCACGATTATCGTAACTTTTTCCACTGCGTAAAGCTCTCACTGCATTGCAATCTATTGTACCCCTTGGATTAGGCACTATTTGACTAGGAAACTTCCCTTTTTCCCTTTTCTGTAATATTACCTGCTAGCTACCCAAATTGTCTCTCCAAATTAGTTATGGAAGCCTACATATTCTACATGTTTTGATGCATTGGCTGCTATATCTTTTTACAAGTTCTGATTGCTTTGCTCAAAATTGATGTGAGTAATCTCTGCCAACTTGTCAATTGCAATTTCCCAAGAAGCTTTGGCTGGTGTAGCAGGTTGCTAGACTAGTGGTGGAAATGGTGGTTTTACTTGCTGCTCACCACCCCATTTTAAATTTGGGTGATCTCTCCAACTTGGATTTTAAAATTTTGAATAAACATCATTTCTTTGCCTTGGATAATTGTTGAATGCGTTAACTTGCTCTACAACAAAATCTGGATATGCATCTCTCTGTGGACAGCCCATAAAATCATGTGTGGGTTGGCTACAAATCTCACAATGTGCTGGTGCAGGTTACTAGACAGCAACTGCTATTTTCTGCAAAATCATGTCGAATTTTGCATCAAATTTTTCAATTTTTTTTTCTATCTTTTCAATTTGAGCAGAAACATGTGGAGACCCCATAAACATTTAAAAAATGCCCTTATTTTGTGTTTGATCCTCTACCCATTGTTAAGATTCAGATGCCATGTTGTCAAACAATTGATAAGCTTCCTAGGCATTTTTAGTTAAATATGAACCTCCTGATAAAGCATGAACATGATTCTTGGTGTTTGAATTTAGTCCTCTGAAAAATATGCCCATCTGTGTGTCTCATTTAATGCCTGCGTGGGGACACTTTCTAAATAACTCCTTAAAACACTCCAATGCCTCGTGAAACTCTTCATTAGGCTTTTGGGAAAAAGATAAAATTTGAGTCCTCATATCAAGAGTTTTAGAAATTGGATAATATTTGTTAAGAAATTTATCACTCATATGTTCCCAAGAAGTGATACTGGCAGATCGTAATGTAAGCAGCCATGTTCTTGTCTTGTCCTTCAATGAATAAGGGAAAAGATGGAGTTGGATTGACTCTGCAGTAAACTCATTCACTATAATATTTCTGCACCCCATTAAAAACTTTGTGATATGCATATTAGGATCCTCATGAGTTAAACCATGAAAAGTAGGCAGAATCTCCAACATGTGATGTCTGATCTCGAGTGTGTCGTCTTCCTCTTCTGGATAAACAATGCAACTTGGTAATTCATTAGCATGGGCTGCTAATGTATCCCTCAATGGACGCCTAGCAGCTAGTATGGCAAAAGCCATGGTATCCTTACTGTCCAAAATCCCAGAAAACAAATTTTTTAGGAAAGTGTCCTCCGATGAAGGTTCACACGCTAAAAATTGCTCCCTGCACCTTTGTTGTAAAGTGCGTTCCGGCTTTGGATCAAATTCTATTAGCTATTGATTTTGGGATCTGGTGCAAACCATGTACATGATCTGTCTAGATTATGGGCTCTGCGCAAAGAAAATGAAAATTAAATTAATATAAATAATTTTTTTAAAATTTTATTTACAACAATAATTAACAAAGAATTATGATTAACACAAATTGTTTAAAAACAATCCCCGACGACGACGCCAATTTCTTGATAGGATTTTTAAGTACCTGCGCAAAGAGGTTAAAATCACACAATACTTGCGCAAGAGAACAAGGTAGTTGTAGTATAAATGGCTCAAGCAATGTTGTTTTCCGCTGGGATTGTTTAAAACAATTAATTAAAAACCCTAATCCTAGTTAATTATCTGAAAATAAAGATTGGAAAGGGTTGATTTTGAATTTAAAAGTAATAAAAACGAATTTTAATAAAAGTAATTTAGGAAAAACAACTAATAACCAATTTTAAAAGGAAACAAATCAAAGAGAAAAGGTTTTGAGAAACAAATTTTGAAAAGAACTAGGGTTCCGCCATCCCCCTAACAATCCTACGTAATTCTTCTAATTTCTTACGAATTACACATGCATATTTTGAAGGTTAGGTTTTCCTAAAATATATCTTACTTGGAACCAACAACATAGAACGTATATCTAACATGCAACTTGTCTATGGCGTCCAGATCGAATGTGAACATGCAAGACTCATTAAGTTTTGTGAAAACCTTTTGAAAAACCACATTACTCTTAAGACGTGTCATCCATCCTAAGTAGCTACACATGTTAACCACAAGAAGCCTTAGTCAATTTTAGGGACAACCCTCCGCTAAAATTGTATCAATTTACTTTTCTAAATATCCTAATGGTCGCGAATCACTAAGACAAATAGATAGTTTAAACCGGCAATTAACAATCCAAAACTTGCAGCATAAATTGATAAGAAAATTAAAAAAGACTACATATTTTTGCTAAGGATCATGGCCTCACCCTAGCAAAGAGAATTAGTTACGCATATTGATAATAAAAATCACATAGTCTTTATTAAAAATAGAAAAAGAATGAAAACACCTTGAAAGTATGAGTCTTGAAATCTATACCAAACTGACACACCCCGACCCGGAATGCCCACTAGGACTCCGAAACAAGCTGTGCTAGCCGACACCTGGAAGGTGATAAAGCTACGAAGTGCAGTGATGTGGAAAATGTGAATAAATTTAAAACCTAAAAGTGCCTAATTATAAGAGTGCGCTGTGAGCGGGAATGAACCCATTTCATACATGATGACGGAGTATAAGTACAGTACAGTAAATAGGTTGAGGAATTATACCATTGAAGGTAATCATATACACCAAGACTTGTCAAGAATCCTCGTTGATATGAAAGCTCAACTACTAAACCTGGAGGTGCGAAAACAAGGGTGAGTGGGCCTGAAAATAAAGTTTTAATTAAAAACCTTTTGAAAATGTTATAACCAGTGGCGAAGCCAGGAATTGTAGAGGGGAGGGGTGACATTTAAAAGGTTTAAGGTCCTAAAAAATGTGGACATCCGTTCAAGGTCCAAGTCTTGGGTTGGCAAGAAGATTATGTGAACTACCCAGAATATTCATAGGAGAATTTGTACTGACCAAAATATTCGAAATATTCGAAAGAGTATTTGAACTACATTATTATGTGGAGGAGGATTTAAGCATCCTTTATCCTTTCTTGTTGTATCATGTCATTACATAACTATATAACGATTAAAGTTCTAAGACGTAAGTGCTAGATGAGCGGTGGACGTGACCCAACGCTTAGGTGAGGATCTAGATGAACTAGGTTGTACGTATAAATAAGTGTTTATTTATTATATAGTGATAATATCTAAAAAAATTGATTAAAAAACACATAATATATAAAAATATTGACAATTTTATTTGTTATTTGTTGAATTTGATGTAAGACATAAAAATTCAAAGCATTACAAGTTCATAATACAACAAAATATTTTTGAAGCTAGTATGAATTTATAGTTACTTTTAACATAAATAAGATTGGCAAATACGTAGTTTGAAAACTATGTGGGCAAACTCATTAGACAATAACTAAAAAACAAATATAAGAAAAGTACATGTAAATATCAAAGTTAGGTGGTGCAAATTGGTTGGACAATAGTTAAAATTGGGTGAATTTTACAAGGACACGTGGGATGGGATGGAAGAGAGAGTCTCTTCTTCCTCCCTCGTTTTCTTCATTGGAACCTGAACTCCATTTCAGAAACTGCAAATTACAGGTCTCCCTTCCTCCTTTCTTTGGCCTTGGGTATTTTGAAAAAAATGGACAGCTCACGCGCAGCCTGCGCTACGCAGCAGAAGGGAAACCTAGAAAGCCAGAGCACCAGACGGAATTTCATCGCTTTCAACGTGATCAAAGAGGCAGAACCATCACTCCTGGGCTTGATTTCCAGCGAGAGGAGGGGCGGCCGCCCCTCCTCGCCCTTATGTAGCTTCGCCTATGGTTATAACCTCTCGCCGTAAAACATATATAGTTTCCAAAATATACATACGTATAGTATGAAAATATTTACCGTAGCTTGCAAAACATAAATAAGGCATGATATATCAAAATCACAAAGTCTCCACAGTAATATAAGTAAAATCAGGTGCTCAACAACCTATGCTAGCATATCAGTCGGAGTCGCCTAATGTGACTTGTACGACTGAACCTATTGCTCATCAATCTATGCTAGCACACGAGTCGAAGTTGCCTAACGCGACTTGTACGGCAGGACTAGGTGTAATAATATACGCTTTAGTGCTACAATCACGTGAAGACTAGCGCTATTCGCTGTCACATATGAGTTAGAATTGCCTATTGCAATCTGTACGACAAGACTAGCACCAATTTGGATCCAAGGCGAGTGTGCGGTGCTGATGTGAACATGTGAAAGATTAGCCTAGCCTTGGGCTGAGCACTAACATGTGGGTGTAGCAATGATGAGCAGACTATATGAATATATGCATGCCATAATGATGCAATAATTCTAGCCAACATAATAAACTTACCTGAACTTACATGTGCATCCCGTAGGATCATTTTGGCATTTCACAGTTTCATAACAATGCAACATTTCTTAAGTAGGATCATTTTGGCATTTCACAATTTCATAACAATGCAACATTTCTTAATCATGGCATGAAATTCACAAATCAATTCAAAAGCATTTGTGGAAACTATAAAATACACACACACACACACACACTATAAAAAGGAAAAGACCCACTCACCTGAAGTCCGTGCTACAACTCCCTAGCATGAATATCGAGGCATCTCAAACGATCAGCATCTAGAACAATTATCAAATCACGTCTCAGAATTCTTATCGATAGAACACGTAACTTACATAAAAACGCATCCCCAAGGATGTTCTAGAATGATTTGAAACCTATTGACTTAAAGTCAACCGTCGGTTAAAAGTCGACGGTAGGGTCTACAACCCTACGTAACCCGATTCAGAAGATCCACACCTCGGATTTCCGATCCGTAACTTCCAAAACTCCACATTATACTTCTAGAACATCATACTAAAGTTTCATTACAATCCAATACCCCAATGGAAATGGGAAGATGTCACAATGGATTTCGTGTATAAGTACTTCTCTAGTTTGACTGCTTTACCCTTATGTTAACTATGCTCTGAACATTTGTAGTTTATGGGTTCTACCTATTACTGCGCACTCACTTTATTAGTTTAAATAAGTTATAGTTTCGGTTTTAATTTATTCACATTTTACATCACTCACACTTTTGGTTACATCATCTTTGGGTGACGGCCAGCACGCCTCGTCTCCGGTTGAGGTGTGTTAGTTTGCTTTGCCCAAAATCTTTTCTCCAAAAGTTGCATAAGAGAGAACCTTAGGGCCGGCCAAAATGGCTTATTTATACTACTCTAATTAAAATCCTACTACTAAAAGGTCTTAGAATAAGACTAGGAAACCTAATAAATTGAAATAAAATAGGAAACATAATCCTAAATTAACTTGGTAAATTCGCCCAAAAATTTGCACGGCCACGTTTTGGACCCAATTCAGCTCCAAAACTGGCCCAAAATAGCTGGATTTAAAGCTTGGGCTATTCTGAACACTTCTCCAGAAGGCCATGAACCCATCTCAGGTCATCTTGGGCTCTAAAAACGTAGTTTAAGTAAAAAAACATCACTTTTCAGCAACTCGCATTGCTCCTTTAATAAATCGCCAGAAAATAACCGCTTCGTAGAAAAATTCCAAATTTTGATACGAACATACCAAGAGACACACAAACGTCTTCCAATTTGAATAACTCCAAAATTCGTCCGTTTGGTCATGTTTTGCTTAAGAGGAAGTCAAATATCCTACAGTGAAAATATTAAGCAAAGTATAAAAATTCTATCAAAATAATTACCAAATTATACTAAGAATATGGTAAAATATATATATATATATATATATATATATATATAATATTGACTCATCATTTTGCATCCCTAAGTTGCTCATGCATTGATAATATACTGAGATTCTAAATTCACTCGGACTAACACGAAGACATTTATATATATCATGTATAAGATCTTGATGAGTAACTTTGGTTGACACTACCATTGCTTTCGCTTGACCAAATATGTATTGGCTATCAACCCTCCTCCATCCGTAATGGACCACGGTCACAAATTGAGTCATATTCTGAAAGAAAAAAACTAATTAGCGCATCTAACTAACCTATAAATATATTTAAAATAGGAAAATATTTTAAAGAAAAATTAATTAGCACATATAACTAACCTGCATATGCAAAGTGCCAAAGAAACACTGATATGGTTGCTTTATTGGAGCTTCTAATTCTTCAATCAACTTGTTGATTTGTCGAAGGATTCATAATATATTCACCTGCATTGGAACATGAAAATCATTAAAGTTTTGACTAAAACCATGATATGAAATATCAAAAAGTTGATTTAGGAATTGGAAGCTACAATTGACCAACCATATCATTGTTTCTTGGACAATTTGAAAAGGCTATTGCGTCCTGCGCCTTTTTTTTTGGTCAAAACATCCCTACTGCTTAATTATGCAAAATCGGCAAAGAGTGCTTTTCTGGTTTAAGGTGAGAAACTAGAAGGTTGCAAGAGAGTTTGAAGAAGGTTTTATTTTTGTTGTGAGAAACCCTAATATTAAGGGTATATTAGTACTTTTACATCAAGTTTTGGTTAAAATTATCATAAAACTAAAATTGTGGCTATAATTCTATATAGGATCTAAAATATGGTTACTTTTCCAAATTTTCAAAATTGGAGATCAGGATTTCTCCCTGCGACTGAGCTTACTCGTATGGCAGTGTCGATTGAGTATTGAATGGGGGTATTTATTATGCTGAAATCAATAATACTAATTTTGAAAATATTTTTAATAGAAAAGAAATTAAAATAGAACAATAATTTAGTTCTTCTTTGAGCAAACACCAAAAATTGAGGATAATACTATTTTTATTACCTACCCTGCTTCCTTATCTAATACTGCACCAAATGCTTCACTAAGTCATTTCTGCTTAGTATATTCTAAATTAGTCCAACTTAGCACCTAATTGTCGAACAATCGTTTTGGCTTCCGAAAATAAATTCTGTTTTGAAAACTTAGGCAACCAAGGTTGTAGGCGGTGTTGGCTGTTGATATTCAATACCAAAATCATTCGGTCAATGAAAACGATTAATTTTATTTATTATAACTTACATTTTTAAGTAGGATGACAATCTACACGAATATTCTTAGAAAATTAGACCCTCTAATTCGATCCCCAAAGAGGTTTGAATGTACAAAGTGTATGTTTTATCAAGGATCATAGAGGATTGATTTAATCAAATGAGTTCACAAGGTATGTTTTGTGATGAACTAAACTCCATTTTTTTTGTGGTATCCAAACTATTGTCACAAAAGGCAAGTGACCATTTACACAGTGGTGGAAATATGTTGAGCTCTTACGTGACGGCGTGGTTTCAAACTCCGCTGATGACTAATATAACATCTAATCTAATACAATTTATTGTTTGACAAAAAAAAAAAAAAAAAAACCCATTGTCACAAAAGTGATAATTGTTGTGACAATGGTTATTTTTTGTGGTATCCGAGTCTAGTTCATTTTTTGTGGTATCTGAGCCATTGTCACAAACGAGTATAGTGCTTATTTTTTGTGATTAAAAAGAAACGGAACACGGTAAAAATGGTAAAATTTATTAGTTACAAATTAGTAGAGAGATAAAACTAAAAAAAAAAAAAAAGAGATTCATGAACAGCTAAAGCCACATTGGAATAGTTTAGATCTAGCAAACATTCAGTCTACCAATTACAAAAAACAGTTCATAATTTCGTACAAAGTAGGGTCATAAGAAAATGTAGCACTATGGTGGAGGCGGCCCAGGCTCAAACAGTGGAGGGCAGCAGCATTTAAATATACCGCAGCAGCATAGAATCCACAAGCTGCATAATCAAAACCAAAATTTAAAACAAAAATGCAGTAGCATTGTATATGCAGAAATTCTCCAATGTGGATAAATTAATCTTGCGGGATGCAACCATTTGTATTGTGTTGGCAGCTGGCTTATGCTCAAATCCCGCATTAGAGAAACATGTATATGATGTAGACCAAAAATATTGAAGTGAAAAGATCTTACCAGAATTCCAAGCATCCTGGTTGGTGATAGGGAGGAGGAGCGGTGGCTAGGAGCGGCGTGCTTGGTGGCGGCGGATCCATATCTGTAGAGGGTATTGGCAGGTGATGAGGAACAACAAAGTCTAATGAAAAACGTTATATATATGTATATGATCGAACAAACCATGCTCCCTATCGCCAAGTCAGACACTCTTCCAACTACCATTCAAGGGAAGAACTTCCAAGTCATTTGCATAATGTTTGTTCAACTAACACCACTTGGCAGTTAAATTCAAAAATGGATGTGCATCTGAACAACTACTACTCCCTAAACTTAAGAGAACCACGAAAAACATTGCAGAGTACAAAAAGCACCAGCAGGTGGCTTCGTCGCAGCAATCCATCATTCCGAAGGTTGGGAAGACTCACCAATTGGGATCATTAAATTGTCTAGTCTAGGACTTTTTCATGGAAATTGACACAATTTATCGCATTGAATAATTTGTTCTAAATATGTGCTTTATCAATGAAACTATTGCCATTTCAAATATAAAAATTAAAATTAAAAAAAAAAACAAAAACAAAAGAGTTGTTATAAAAATGTTATTATGTATATATATATAGAGAGAGAGAGAGAGAGAGAGAGAGAGAGAGAGAGAGAGAGAGAGAGAGAGGAAGCCTTTAAGGGAATGGATCCCTATTTTTTTTTTATAAAAATGAGGATTAGTTGGGGTCCACATCACATCGAACTTTAACGATCTGAACCGTCTATTTTTCAAGTTGCATCTCATAGATCATCCTTGCAAAATATTAGTCAAATCGGAAATATTTAATACTTCTAATTGAGTTCAAAAAAATTAACGAATACTTTGTTATATAAAAAACAATAAAATTTTTTATTGATAATTAAATAGGTAAATGATTTCTGATTTGAATTGAATTTTTGTAAGGATGATCTATATCGAGACTTACAAAATAGACGGTTCAAATCATTGAATTTCGATGTGAAGTGGGCCCTATACCTAATCCCTATATTTGCAAAAAAATGAGAATCCATTTGCATAAAGGGCCTATAGATATATATATATATATATATATATATGAAGCCTTTAAGAGAAGAGATCCCCATTTTTTCAAAAAAAAAATAGGGACACTCTCTTGACCGTTAAATCTGACTTTAATGAAATTATGTGATTGAGATTCTGTGGTCTATAATTTAATCTTAATCACAAAATTTCATTAAAACTATATCTAACGGTCAAGAGGGTGTCTCATATTTTTTTTTTTGAAAAATGGGGATCTCTTTGCTTAAAGGGCTATATATAATTGCTTGGGGCGGTAGCTCACGCGCACGTCCCTTAAGGCAACTTAAATCTAAAAGGAAATTTAAATGATAACCTTAAAGATTAGAAAACTAGAATTCACTAGAAAGTAACAAAAAAAACTCTCAAAATTTATGATTGAATACATGAAAGAAAATAACCCTAAGACCATCTCCAACCCTTGGGCTAAAAGCCAAAATTTTTAGCCCGGAAAATTTAGCTTTTAGCCCAGAAACATCTTTTCTGCTCCAACCCTTCTACCCTAAAATTTTAGCCCGGAATTATTAAAGAATGAAATTAGCCTAAATTTTTTTCTTAAATCAATTTTTTTAAAAAAATAAATATGTAGATTATTGTAAATTAATTTTATGAACATTTTAATCTAAAAAAATTTAAATTCCGATAAACATTTCGCATTTAGCCCGGGGGGAAAGCTGAGGGGTATTTGGTCCAGAAATAGCATTTGGCATTTAGCCTAAAATTGTAGCATGGGTTGGAGAGTGTTTGGGAGGGGGGGTAATTTGACTTTTAGCCCAGGGTTGGAGATGGTCTAAGACCACATAAATATGGTTGTATACCCTATGTGCAGCTGTATGCCATGGGAATAGAAAAATGTATAGTGACCATGTGAGAGCGGTTTGACTTTTATCTTTACAAGATTTTATATTCTATGATACTTTAATTTATGGAAATGAGCATTCACACAGGTGCAAACATACAGGCAAACTATCATGACTAACTGACCTAATCAGCCCGGACAGATAACTGTTATCCCAAGCATTGCATGTGTTTTCTTCTTTGCGGTGCTCCGGGATAAATGGGATATTAGGGAATCAAAGTGCTCCTTGGTAAGAAAAAGAATTGCTGGTTATATGAAAACATGAAGGAACAAAAGTGCTTTAAAAACTACCTTTTTGCATTTACTGAATTACAAGCAGCATACCATCCTTTTCATCTCCTAACATATTTTGAATGCTATGATTTCTGTACAACAACCAAACAAATACACAACTATGATTTTCTTCAAAGAAAAAAGTATCAAGGAACTAATCTTCAGAAACCCGCTTGCTTCCTCGTGATTTCTTTGAGCAACCAACCGCAAACAAGTATTTGAAATAAGCTTAAAATCTGGTTTACTTCCTATCCGTGTGCTTCAAGTTTTCTCTGGTCATGGGGGCTTACCATTTGTTACACAAAAAGACTCCAACCTGGGCTCAGTTAAATCCACTGTCTCAATATCAGTGGCACGACAACTCCTGGCATTTGAAGTCAAGAGGATCAATCTCTCCATATAGTTATCTGAAACAGAATCCGTGTCTCTTTCAGCACATAGGTTACGGTCAATGTCTAGTGGCAGTGAACACCGAACCGAACCTTTACTGGATTTCGCTCGCCTTAGCTCCCCAGCATCTTTATGGCCATCCATGCCTATGTGCTGTCCAGAAGAATACTCAGATCAAGTCTCTATACGCATTGCTCAAATCATACAATATGACCTCCATACGACATATGAAAAGTTAAAAAATGACATCAACCACATAGGTGCGTAATTACCTGAAAAAGATTTACAGAAAAGTTTTTCCTTTTAGATCTCTCTGGTGAAATAGTCGAAAGGATTTGGACAACCTCACTCATGTTTGGTCTAGCATCAGGATCCAACAGTAGACATTCTTTTGCCAAGTAAGCCATTATCTGCATCTCCTCTTCTGGGAAGTTTCCATTTAAATCTGGATCCGCCAACTCTGTGATTACTCGCCTACTATCCAGTAAACGAGGTGTAGCCTACAACAAAGACAAAAATGTTCATATGCTACATCAATTTTTATTAACCCATAGACGTATTTCTGAACTGGTTTTCTACGATAAATTCATGTTAATCAGCAGCATCGTGGTAACAAAATGGAAATTCATGCAAAAGAAATGATGGATATATGTTCCTAGTAATAAAGTTGGCAATTTTCTATACCCATATGACAAGGCTTTCTTCTCCCTTAGTTGTTGATTTATGGATGGGCTTCCGACCAGTGATAAGCTCAAGAAGAACTACGCCAAAACTGAAAACGTCTGACTCAAGAGATGCTCTTCCAGCAATAGCATATTCCGGTGCAAAATAACCAAAAGTCCCCTGCATTCTTGCTGGAGAACTAGATGTGCTAGGGACACCATCAGCTTTTAAGCGTTTCGCCATACCAAGATCAGTTATCTGCACATATATAACAAATATAAGAATTATAAGAAATGCGTGCCAAATATCCGCTTCAAACTAGGCTATCTTTCAGTTCCAAAAGAGAAATGTAAACCGTGTTCGTAGCCAAATATCCACTTCAAACTAGCCTATTATTATTTCCCTTGTTTCATAAAAGAATCGGAGATTTCAATCGATGTTTCAAATAATCACATCTTACTTTTGCTTGCCAATTTTCATCCAGAAGAATGTTTGTGGATTTGACATCTCGATGCAGAATTCTTGGAGCAGCTGCTTCATGGAGATATTCCAAACCCCTTGCAGCTCCAATGGCAATTGAAACTCGAGTGACCCAATCCATGTTTTTCCCTTCATCCCCGTTCAAACAATCTCTCAGGTTACCGTTATCCATGTACTCAAATATCAATAACCTCTCGACATTTTTTCCATGGGTTTCAAAGCAGTAGCCAAGCAAAGGCACCACATTAAAATGATTAAGTCTGGCTAACATTTCAATCTGAGAAAAACAGATTGATTAAGTTGTTTCTTCTGTTAAGAAACCAATAAAAAGGATGTTGATGTATATCGACAAATGCACAGAAAGATGAGGTATTACCTCTGTTAAAAAGACAGAGTCCATGTCTGGCCCTTTCAAAGCTTTTAGACGCTTAACTGCCACAACTTCGCCATCATTGAGCTGGCCACGATAGACATAGCTGCTTCCACCAAGTCCTATTAGATTGGAATCTGAAAACTTATTGGTTGCACTTTCCAGTTCAAAATATGAAAATTGAATAATTGCTCCAGGTGTAGCTCGGGGTTTGCTCCTCAATACACAAGAGGTAAAGCAGCCTGTTAACTGAAATGGAATAGTTATAGCAGTTCCTGTACAGAGAAAAATATACAAACAAAAATTATCAGGTTTAAAGGAGTACTATGAAATGAACAGGCTGAAAAGATGAGCGGGATTTATAGACTAAGAAACAAACTCTGCTAAAACACTCCATAGATCAAATTACCTGTGCCTTTACCGATGGGGGAATCCATATTTATTTTGGTCTCAAACAATGAGGAACTCTTATAGCTAATTAAGTTGGAAGCACTATTGCAACTTGATTCCTTATCAGGCGAAAATATTGGCGCTTGAATAGAGCACTTAGCCCTTCGGCAGAAGTAGCATACCACCGAGGAAATAAAAGCAAGGGTTGTGAGTATGACACATGCTAAAAGAATAATCACAACAACTTTGCTCGAAAGATGATTTTTTGAAGGCTTTGCTGCATTGAGAGATCCTGTTAAGAAGAAACACAGACACAGAACAAGTCACAATCAAATGACTTCAGAATTCAGATAAAGAAGTAATGTCGAAGATATAACAAAGTCTATCTAACTTGTAAATCAAAGATATAACAAAATGTCAGATGTATGTAAAAAAAATATCTGGAAATTCTTTGTGGAATAGATTATGGGTGCGTCAATACATATAAGTCAAAGATGGGATGACCGTAAACAGGATTCTCACAGTAAATCAAAATCCATGGTCCCATAAACCAATCAGCTTTAAAAAACAACATGATTTATCATTGTTCTATGTAAAGTGGATCGGTTGACTGATGTGTGCGTGTGTGTGTGTGTGTGTGTAAGAGAGAGAGAGAGAGAGAGAGAGAGAGAGAGAGAGAGAGAGGGAGAGTAAGTACCATAAGTGCAGTTGCAGGCTGTAAAACAATTAGGATCATGACCGTCAGCTGTGACTTTAGGAAGCCCATTGGCAGCACATATGCATGTCCATGTAGTATTACTTCCAGCATCTGTATCAGAGGCATTCAGTTTATATTGTCATACATCATATAGTATATACAAGAAAAACAGGTACATAAGAATATTCTAGTCACGAAAAAAGGGATAGTTCTTAATCAATGCAACGAACGCACAAACATAACTGAAGCATTTTTATATATGAATTAACTTATATAGAGCTTCCACCTAAACATTGAGTGAACAACATTTAAAGAATCATACCCAGTGCACAAGGCTCCCGACTGTTAAAAGTTTATTGGCAAATAATGGTGTATCAAAAGAAGTGTAAAGCTTTTGGGTGATTGTAGCATAAAGATCAGCAGCATACCCTGACTGCAATTACAGGATGCTGAACAGTAAGGTTCTAGAGTGTAGCTCACGTTTCCTTGATATGAGCACCTACATGTCCAGTCAGTCGCATTCCACGCACCGGAAACCTCATCTGCTACGACAAATAATGAAAAGAAGATTTCCATGTATTATTTAAACGATACTGATACTACGGAGAAGTTTGATGGGTAACCCTTCTAATATGGAAGCTCAAGACTCTATAAAAGGGAAACAATATGTGCAGGGTTATTTGGATGTTGGAAAAATATAAGTTTCGCCAAGCAACATACTTAATTCCAGATTTGAAGGCAAAAGGTGTGTCTATAATTTCCCATATTGCAATATCAATAAATCTTTTCATAAACATATCGGCAATGAGAAATCAATACTAACCGCAAACACCTTGCTGAATCACGATCAAGGTTATGACACAGGCAAGGGCAACCTTCACTTGGAACTTCATTTATCCTAACCTGAACAATATAACAACTGCATATTGAATTCAAAACGAAAATGAATATTACATAAGAAAAATAATAAAAACTGATTTGGATACACTTTCTACTCCTGATGGCAAACATAGCGCAACAATTATGTAAGAACCAAGTAATGTTTTCCCTCAAATGCTGTGAAATACAAACAGAAACAAGTGACTTCATAACAACGTATTGTTAGAAAACTAAAGTCATAGAGATCTTGATATAAAACAAACTGGAAATATATCATATTAAAAAAAACCTTCATTGGGTTAGTGAGAAACTTCAGACTTCTGTGGTCTCAATCCTTACACCTACACTGATTATTGATGTAGATTATATCAATTCAGGCATAAACACAATTTACAGAACCAAAAATCTTATCAAAATAATTTAACAAACTTTCTTTTTCTCACAAAAAAAAAAAAAATTCCCTGGTGATAACACTATGAAGTTTTATTTTAGATAAATTAGTTGAGTGGAACAAGCACAAAGGTGTAAACACAAACCGTCCCACCCATTTGATTCAAATCCTTTACAGTGCAGATAGTAAGTTCCAAAAGATTCAAGGAAAAGGAAATGAAAATTAAAATCAGATGTGATACTCTCATAAATCCGGAATCAAACAATAGAAAGTTAGGCAAGCATGTAGAAGAAATATGACAGGCAGGTGTTGTTAAATTCATGGTTGGCCAACAAATTGGAAGCTAACTGTTAGAGAAACCAGTCCAGATTCATCACCTTGATTTCTCCACCATGGTTTTCTGCACTTGTAATTATCATTACCCTAATTATAAATAATAGCACAATTAAGCACTAGACTTAATACATTTAATCATCATTGTATACAACCTAGGATTGTAAACTCAATCTTTAAGTATTCATAATTCTACATGGTATCATCCCTTCCTCTCCTTCTCACAAAATCTTTCCATCCTCCCTGTCAGCCATCATGGCTTCTCCTTCCTCCTCTGCTTCCGCCACTGCCTGCTCTGTTTCCCTCACCTCTCCCTCTCTCAACACCCGAGAACTTCTCAAACTAGACGAACACAACTACCTTCACTGGCTCCTGCAAATCAAACCCTTCCTCGTCGGCAACGGCCTCTGGAAATTCGTTGACGGCTCTCACCCTCATCCAAGTATACATAATTCTACACTAACAATTGATGGCAACCCACTTTGCTGTGCATTCAACCAAACTATGTAGTACAACATGAAGTTCGACTATGTGGTATTGTCAACACACAATTTTGGCGAAGACAACTTCACAAAATTATTGTTGACCATGGTTACGGATTGTTATACCCAATCTCATAATTACACACAACTAAAAACACAAATGAAGAAATGACCATTAAAACAACCATAAGAAAACACTGTAAAATTCAAGGCTTGCTGGTTGGGGATCAAGCGGAAATTGGCCCAACAAATGAGCGCCTGCCCCCGTCTATCATCAATGCATTACTGCTTTTAGCAGTCCCACATTCTTTAAACTATTTAAACTGCCTCCCCAAACAGTATACAAGAACTTCAAAAGCAATAAGGTTCCTACAAACAAAAATATACTTTCTTCCCAGTAACTCCACAAGAGTTTACAACAAGTGACATTGCTTCCAAACAAATAGAAAGCATAAAGCTTTTAGAGAATTAAGGAAAATCAGGACACCTGAGTACGTAAAGAACCGCAGCAGAAACAGAAATAGGAACTTTACCTTGACTTACAAAATACAAAGTGAAAAGTAACAAGCATCGAGCTCAAATTACTCAAAACAATCGCAACTCCCTCCTTCAGAGTTCAAACATGAGTACAAGTACACAAACTCGAGCGCAGCAAACCCAATATACGCAAACTCAATATAACAAAGACCAGAAAGGTCTAATATACGCAATCCCGTCACAAATGATGGGGTGAATCTAGAAAATGGACAATGCCGAAAGGACATGTGACACAAATAGCGGGGAAAGGGACAAATGGGGCTCATGAAAACATGGATTGGAAAATAGTAAACTCAAAACAAACCCATCAGCCACCTCTCTGAAAGCTGCCATTTTCCATATCAGAAAGAGACCCCTCAGCTGCACCTAAAATCTAATCCAACATTACCGAAGGAAACCCCACAATCTGTTTACTTTTCATAACCGTGGCTCAATACTTAAATATTAACTGGCCTTTCTAAACTTTTTCAAATGGGAAACATTCAGACACCCCAACGGTTGAAAATTTAAAAAAGCTTCCTATTTTTGTATTCAAATTGGGAAGTAACGGTTATAATTCATCAAAGACTTTTACTTAGCTTCAAAGACAGACAATCAGACATAGATGTACTGCTGCTCGGTCCGTAAAGCGAGCAAAGATTGAGCTCACACTGGGCCCTACCAATCTGTCCTATGCGGAAAGTGGGCCCAATATTGGGTCATAGTGGGCCCTGCTTATTCAGCCTACGTGAATGGGTGAAAGGATGACATAATAATCCTACACAAACTCTGCTCTCACCATCCAAACTTTTTTGGGAACTTTAATGAAAGGTTCCGATAATGTTCATTTTAACAAAAAATTATATTTTTACTCTTAAAAATCAATCCTGGTACTATTCATTTTATCATTTATTTTGTCATTATCGTTAAAACTCAAAATTTTCACGTCATTTTCATTAATTTTTCTTACTTTTTTTTTAATTCACAACGGGGCATAAGCGCGAAGTTCATTTTAACGAAAAACTACTTTTCGTTAAAATTTTCAAAAATAAAACTTAGAATATGGGAGGCAAAGTAGGGACGTGGCATCCACTTCATCTATAAAGTCAACAGATTTCTTAGTAGTAACATATACTTAATTACTAAAACACCCAAGAGAATGATCTTAAATACATTTGTGTCCAATAACCAGAGTTAATTCCCTCTTCCGCCACAAGCTGAAATGAGTCCACCGGATCCGTGCAGAAAGAAAAAAAAAATCGAAAAGCAGAAAGTGATTTTTACCTTGAGAAGGAAGTGATTCTGAAATCCGGCGGCTTCTGCGATTTTGTGGTGCCTCCTTTGGTGCTAAAGAAGTCGGAAAATGGCGTCTGAAGAAGCGCTTTTGAGAAACCGAATCCGCTTTCTGAGCTCAGGCATTTCGGATCTGATAATCCAACGATGATATAGGAGAAATGTAAAGAGAGAGTGAGTGACAGTCAGAGCGTCTCCATTTTTAAGTGCGAGAAGAAGCTGCCGTTGGATGCTGCTGCTTCTTCAGCTGAAGATAGATAGTAAGAGTGTGAAAGTGAAAGTGAGAAGTTTTGCAGAGGGAGACCCATAGTAATGAGTTGCGCCGAGGTAGCTCAGTCTCGCTTTCCGAGGTGGTCCCACTTCTTTATACATTTCGGAGAAGAGATCCGGAGGCCTTTCAAATTTCATTGACTGCTCAAAAGTTGTAATAAATTTTTCCCGTCAGATCATTTGATTCGGTGTCCTTAGTGGAAGAGGTTTGAAGAGGATCTCTTCTCTACATTTCGTTGCACTTATATTCTTGAAGGGAAGAATGTACTTGGGAGCATTTTTCCTCGTTATCCTAAACTTTAGTATATGTTTATTATACATTTAATCATTTGTTACTTGTTTTTTTAATTAATCTTGGTTAATTTTTTTTTCAAAATTAAAAATTAACATCTATTGTGAAAGTTAACTAAAATTAGGTAAAATGACATATGATAAATGATTAGGTATATGGCTAAGCGCTAGATCAGTGGCGGGCTGGAGCCTAGGCAGGATCTTAGGTGGATTTAAGTAAATTTATTATATTCCATATAAGTATGTGTCCATTTAAACTTATAAAAATGCATAATTGTATTGAGATACATATATTACAAAATAAAATGACATAGATTATAGAATATAAGAACATATTGAAAACATGTGAAACAAGCATGTAATGAGTACTCATCCAAGTATTCAACAAGTCTCATACATTTATTGAAAAAAATAGAATGTCAAATGAAAATTATTGATTTCTTGCCTAAGCGAGAGTCGTGACATAGGTGGGTCTAGGCGGGCTAGGCTAACGCCTAACAGGTCTAGGCACATGCATAAGCAGGTCTAGGCGCCCTTTCTTAATTTTCAAACGCCTAGAAATTAATCGAGACGGTGACCAACCGCCTAGCACTGCCAAAACAGTGATGGTAAGCATACACCATAGTTAGGGTGGTGAGCAAAAATGCTCCAAATGTATGTCATTAGGGTGGCAATTCATGTACATAGGTGGAGCATTTCAAGGGCTTTTTAGTGCGACGGTCATAATCCACATAGTTATAGCCAGAAAAAAATATTAGGAAGATTGTATTTAGGAGTTTTACTTTTATGCTATGGAACATTAAAAACCACAATAAAAGTAATATTTCAAAGAAATCAGTTCATCTAATACTCATAGCATTTAGTGCTACAAAGCATGAAAGAATTTTTCTCATATTTATGTGTCGTTTGATTAATTATTTCGTTTTCATTTTTCAATTTTTAGTTTCAATTTTTAAAAAAAAAAAATGAAATCTTGTTTGGTAACTATTTTTAGTTTTCAGAAAATGAAAGTTGAAAACTACTTTCTTAGGTTTTCAAAATTTGGCTAAAAGTTTTTACTTTTTGGTTTTCCTAAAAGTAATTACCAAACAATATTTCACTTTAAAAATGTAAAAACTGAAAAACGAAAAACTAAAAATGATTATCAAACAGACATTTAGTACCATGTATTAATCATCTTTCTAATAAAGGTACGGTGTATTGTATTATGAATTTAAAAAAAAAAGTAATTTTAATTTAGATGTAATCTATCAAATATAATCTTCTTAGCATCACCCTCTAACGAGTAATTTGAGATGTCATAATTTAAGATGCCATAACGATTAATTTGGCCTACTTTCCAATAGAAATAGGGTTCCCAAAGGAAATAAACCCTAGACAAAAGATGACAAAAATTTTAGATATTCCGACCAAAAGTTGAGTATAGGACGTACTCACTATTGACGAGATTTGAACTTAAAACTTCTTATTTATATATGAAAAAAATATCGATATACCATAATACTAATTGCATCATATACCCGAGATTTGAGTATGAAGAGAAGAAAAGAAAACAAAAAGCATATAAAATGTTCAAACGACTTTTTAGGGTATAGTTATTTCAAATACATATCAAATGTATTGCATCTAGTTATTCAATCCAAGTACAAATACCCTCATGTTTTATAGTGTATGTTGCAGATTATCAAATTCAAATCCACATCCACTTTCAAATCCCTCCACCCAACCAGAGGTTTCAATTACTTCACTCAATAGAACAAGTTAGAAAGAAGATTTGTTAATTATTGGTTCAAAATTTAAAAGCTATGATAACTCAGTGGAAAGAATGAGGAGTAGATGTACCATTGTCATATATTCAAGTGAATAATTCACCCCAAAGTATCCCACAATTACAAGGCTATACCCCCTTCTAATGAAACCATTTAAAAGAAAAAAACAAAAACCCTTCACATGTACATCACGCAAAGTCACACCACATAAGCCCCTAACTCCCACCACCTCATTTTTCACAATTGATCTGAGCCCCAATTACTCACATTTACCCAGTTCTTATTCATACACATGAGATAACAACCAAATATACTCCCCCAAAGTTGAATCACCCAAAATTCATCGGTATCCCAGTTATATCCCTGACTCCCCGAACCACGAAGGAAGAAAACGAATAAGAACGAAACAAAAAGGTCCATTGATGAAGAATATATGTAAGGTGAGGCGAATGCCTACTTTTGAGGATTATCGCGGCTAGATTTGGCCGGAAATGACTGAGCACTGCTGAGGGCTCGTCGTGGTGATGGGTTCCCTAACAACATGGTTTGCGAACGTGTCACCATGTCTGTCATCGATGGTGTTTGGTAAGATTGCACAAGGCTAGTGCTATCTGTGGAATCGCCTCGAGCAGTTGCCCTCTGCCATGAGTGCGAGCTCAATCCTGATAAAACGTATGCTCTTCCTGATTCCTCGTATGCCCGACGGTTTCCCATCCTTTCTTGCATCTCCTTCAACTCAGCGGAAAGTGAGACGCACAGGCGGTCACCAGCTCGTGCAGAGGCAGTTTCAGACAATGCCCTACGACAGCTCTCCAGGAGGGAGACTGCACCAACCAAATCACCGTTCTCAGCAGCCACTCTAGCCTCGGCCATTGCTTCTGCTGCACGAAGCCTATTCCGCTGCCTGTCTACTTCCATTGACACTATTAGTTGTCCTACTACTTCAGGCCTTTGGATCGTGACTTCACTGCCTTCTTCCAAATTCACCAAATCTTTCGTTATGGGATCTCTGTAAACACATCTAACCTTTACCAGCGACATGTCATTACTGGACACATCATCTGGAATATTGATTGTCACTAAAAAATCCCTTTCCTCTTCGGCATACAGGTCGCCAACATCAATAGAACCCATTCTTGCAGCAGCAGTCATGCTGGTTCTGTAACTCCCTGCCTTTATTGAACCAAGTTGCAAACTCGGGTGAATGCACTCAATTCTGACCTTTAGTTCTTGCACTACCACACTTAAAAGGCCGCCAATACACTGGGCAAATGCATCCTGAATCACACCCTCAGCTTCTATGAAAGAAAATGTCCCACCAGAAGTTTCCGAGATTGAATGCATCGAGGCAGCATCATGATCTGCACCAAAT